TTCTTGTAAATGTTTCTTTTGGGAGCAGTTGAGTTGGAGTCACACAGAGTGGTCAGGTTTTTTTTTTCTTTTTTACAGTGTGAACTGAATTGTTGAAGTCTTCAAACCAATAGCGAATGTTGGCCTTGCTAACGACAATACAGCGCATGATCTCAAGAAAGCTGCAGCATAAATATGTTCAATATGAATGAATTGATCTTAATGACAGCGTTGAGATTCCATTCTGGTCTGATCGTATCACAGCAGAGAAAGACTTGTATAATTATGAGTCATTTTAGCCTGTAGCAAGGTGCCACTTATGCACAAATCCTTTGAATCCGGGCAGCCTCGCGACGCGAGCCAGTAAACAGTGCGCAGTAGAATTAATTACGCTCTTCTATGTGCTGCTTCCTCACTAATCGGGATCTTCGGCTGCAGAAAGATCTATTCAATACATTTCTCCCATCGCTGATGGTAGAGTGAGGAGAATATGGGAAAATGCTCATTTGCGCAGCGATAAGATGAAAGACACATCCCTTTAGCCCCATTTGACTCTGTGCAGGAAATCATTCATTAATGTTTGTTAAGTATGACAATCTAGCCAGGCCAGATCTACATACTCCAGACGGCATCGCATGGAGAGATAACGCAGGCCAGCAGCAGCCAGAAGAGAGCACAGACAGTTCCTGTAATGATGGGGAATTTATGGGCCTTTAAAGAGATAGTGCCAAGGCCTTCCACTAATCACACACTCCACCGGGGTGCTGGGTGGAATTTCGTCTGGTTATTTTCCTTTTTTCTTGTCCGTACTAGAGGCATTTGTATATGGACAGAAATTTATATTTGACATTGACATTGGCATTTGTATATATATATATATATATATATATATATATATATATATTTGTAACCAGCTTCTGAAAGCTGCATGCTAATGCTGATTATTGAACGGAAAAGTGAAACTGCAGACTTTGTTTGAGTATTTGTTGTACAGCTGTCTCTAGTTTTACAGGGAAATCTGTTTATTTAACAGCAGTTCACTTTATAAAGTCCTCAATTACCACTGCTTTAAATGGAGGAGAAATATTGGCTTCCTAAGTGGCCACCCATCATCAAGCATAACAAAATGAGCACTTTATCTTCAAAACACACAGGATACATAATTCAAAAGTTCCCATTATTAGAAAACAATTCAACGAGGCAATTTCGGTCATGTAATAGCTAGAGCCATTTTTCTGTTTTTGCTCACACTAAAGAAGTCTTTCGCTTTATTACAGTACACACAGAGGGAACAAATATGGGTAAATTACTAACAACAGACACTTCCAGGTTTATTGGAAAATAATTTTGGTGCTCTTGATAAACGGATACCCAAAACCCTCACAGAAAGCACTGTGATGGTAACATGGTACATTAATAGCATCAGCTACTTTGATATATACAGGACCATGGTACTTAAAGTGAGCATGAAATGCTCTCCATAACTCATTTTACTTCATAATCTGATGTTTTCTTGGAATAAAACAGGATGTTCAATGACAAAACAAATTGAGTAGATCCTTTGGGAATTGATTGGATTGTGAAAAGTGAGTGTTATGTACCAGAATGGAGGAGAAATAAAACATAAAAATGGAAAAATAAGAGGTATGCATGACGTCAGCCAAAACAATTACAAAGTTGTTTCATTGTGCTAAAATAATTTGTATTTGTTTGTTTAGATAAATGTGCACTGCAAATTTGATTTAATGTTATTTTTTTAATGATTTCTATATCTATATTCCAAGTTTGGTGAAAAAATATTACATAACCATTGTAACATGTCAAAATGTCGAAAAAAACAAACAAACAATCATGGTAGCGTATATGTGGTGCAAAATATTATATGCAGGGAAATGACCCGTGAAAAAGTTATTTTCAGTTAGAGCTTTTCTTTTAGCCATTTAGAATAAGTTTTTTTTAAGCATACTGAATGCTTTTTTGCATTTCCCACAGTGCACAGATATTGTGTTATATGTGAATCTTTCTGTGGACTTCTGTGTGTGTGTGGGGTCATTCACAATCTAGACTATATATTTTTCTTTTTGATCTTTCTGTCACTCTCTCTCAGTTTGTCGGGATTAGAAAGCTCAGATCTCCTTAAAATCACCCTCACCAGATTGACATTTTCAAGGGCTTCCTTGGTAGAACAATGCTGAGAGGAAGAGAAAAGCCAATATGACTTTGTGTCTACCTTGCTGCAGGAGCTGTTTGTATAAATCGCCTATAAGCTTATTGACCCACATGCATGTCACTGCCATTACAGAGGAGCTGCATTCTGATTGGCTGATTTCTCACTAACTCTATCCTAATGTCTGACATATGCATGCATGGTTTAATGCACACATGCAAACAACATCTTGGCACCCAGATCAATCTCTTGCCATTCTCTTTTTCTTTTTTAGACCTGTGAGCAGAAGGGCTGTAAACCTTATGTCTGTCCCACCTCATTTGACACAGATTTAAACTCTGTTTGAAACCCTAGTGAGCTGCCACACTGTCCACTGTCTACAAAGACAGCTACCTTCCTAGGCAGCACCCTGATTGTCAAAAGTGACTGATTTGAAATGCTTTTCACAAGCAGCAATTCATTCAATGGTCATTCACACAAAAGGCTTGGCAAGCACATAGTTAATTCCAATTCGATTATAGACATTAGCATGTTGCTAAGCTAATGGCTCACTGCTCTAATATGTGACCCTGGACCACAAAAGTCTTAAGTCGCTGGGGTATATTTGTAGCAATAGCCAGAAAATACATTGTATGGGTCAAAATGATTGATTTTCCTTTTATGCCAAAAATCATTAGGACATTCATTAGTAAAGATCATGTTCCATGAAGATATTTTGTAAATTTCCTACTGTAAATATATCAAAACTTAATTTTTGATTATGCATAGCTAAGAGATTGAAAAAATTTACCCTTATGACTGGTTTTGTGGTCCTGTGTCACATATAGCACGCATAAATATTGGATTAAATCTTGTATTTTAATCTAATATCTAAATTAGTTAGTCCTCACAATGAAGATGGTTTCAGTTGTGTTTTAAAGAGTTATATACTATTTATGTATTTTAAAAAAAAATTATTTTAATAGTCCTTTTCTCTTTTTTTAAAAGATAAAAGTATCTGCTAAATGAATAAATGTAAAGGAATGATTGGAGTTTTTAAAGGATAGCGAATATGAAACTGTGTGACCAATGAAGTATGGAACTGATCTTGTGGACTTAAAAAAATAAAAATAAAATAAAGAAATATTTACGAGTGCATGTATTTTTCCAGCCATATAAAAAACTACAGTGTAATGTCCATTTATGTCATACTATACATCAGTTGAATTAATTAATTCATTCTTTCTCGTTCTGAACAATTGTGACTATTACTTCTAAATTAAAAATGAATATCAAATACACAGTAAATAATTTTTTGATATAATATTATAATTTAAAAACAAAAAGCTTGTCATTTATTTTTTGAGCCAATAAATCTAGCCTTTGTGAGCAAAAAAAAAAAAACTTACAGAACCCAAACAATTTTAAAATATCTGGCTGGTCACACGGTTTTATGCTGTAATCTTCAACAATTAAAAACAGATCTTTTCACTTTTCCAAAAAGCACTTTCTAGCTAGCTTGTTCTGCTTTAGCATTTAGTATGGTTGCACTGCTTGTATTGTTTTTTTCTCTTGAATAAATTGCCTCTGCTTATATTATTCTGATTTGTAAGTCACTTTGGATGAAAGTGTCTGCTAAATTTAATAAATTTAGAATTGGGGATGTTGGAGGTGAATATCTGGGGCATTTTTGCCCTGAGCCCTGGTTAATTTCTGACCCTGTTATTTATCTGCCTGCTGAGAAGCAAGATGGATATTTATACAAAATGCATGCAAGAGTGACAAAGAAACATGGAGGAATGCAAAAATACCGGCAAGATATTTCTTAAATAAGAAATAAATTATATGCAATTTAAAAAAAAACAAACATCAGAACTATATTCTGTTGCATGTCAGTCTTCTTTATTTGTTGCACTGTACCAGCTTGGCACAATGTTTTCCCGGCGGATTCCCTCCATGTTCCTGAAAGAAACTTCATCAAGCGGCTGTGACACTTGTTCCCTGCAAGGTTGCCTGGGCGATTGTGTTTAAAATGCATTGCAAACGGTGTTAGATAGAAGGCAGAAAATCCTTAATCACTGCTTAATTAACAAATCATCTTGTAGCTTCATTTCCTGAGTGGTAATTAAACAGTTCCAAGACGTTTCGTTACAGGGCTTAACATGTTCGCCAGAGATCAAGGTAGAGCCTTTAATGTTATCTCGTTGCCTTCCCAAACTCGCTACACTGGAAAGGAACTGTTGATACTGCCTTTTGTTATCCTTATGGTAATGCTCAATGAGTATGCTAAGGAGCTTCTCAAGTCCTGACAATACAAATAGTGAGGCACTTTTTAGTGGGAGAGTGAGGAGGACAGATTGAATAAAAAAAGCTGAGCCCTAGCAGGAACTTCCATGCAGGAAAATAGGTCAGAATGACCTCATGTGCAGTAAGTAGGGCAGCGCGGCCCTCTCCTCTCGCCTGGGTGTGCAGAGGCAAGCAAGAAGCTGCGATCCTTTTGGCCATGTTTACTGACTGCCTTTGAAGTGAACCATGTCTTAACTGGCTTAAACACACTGTGGCGAGAGAATTTGATCTTTAGATTAACCCATCCGGATGGACCAGTGTGTGTTTGAGGACCATGGTGAAGGCCGTTCCGCAGCATTAGAGGGTCGCTGAGACACTGCCACGAAGCATCTGTACTCAGAGTGTGACTCCAATGTGCTTTGTGCGACAAAATCTATCTGTCTATCTATCTATCTATCTATCTATCTATCTATCGAAAACAAAAGTAAATTACTGAAGTATCAAGTGTCAATATGAAGTGTAGACAAAACATGTTTACAGCTTCTATTAAATAAATCACAAATATATGATTGATTTATTGTGTTTTTAGGGGAAGAAAACGGCAACAGAGAAATAGGAGAGACAGAGATGGAAACAGACAGTGAGAAGACCAGACACCCCCCTCTGGAGCCAGAGGAATGGGACGGTCCAAGTAAGTGCATCATCTGATCATGTCAATGTGCATGTGTTTGTGTTATATAACAATGCATTTTGACTATATTTCTCATAATTGTGACTTTATATCTCCAATTCTCACTTAACATTCATTAACTGAACAAAATATTGTCTGACTAATTATTATTTCCTTTTGTATGGAAGCCTTTTTCAAATTGACAGTGATGGACAAGAAAGACAAATTTTGTGACATTGGCAACAGCAACTTCTAAACCAAAAAGTCATGTGCTTTTGGTCCAAGTCGGTTGACTTTAAGGTCATCTGTATGTTAGTGTACTCCCAAACATTGACAAAATTAAGTTTTAACCTGTGATATGAATACTATTACAGTTTTTATTAAATTAGTTTTTATTTTTGTATTTTCCATGTTCAATTGATTATTTCAACAACTTTTTTTAATGGTTTTAGTTCTAGTTCATGTTAACTATAATAACCCTGCTTTTAACAGATATACATGTTAAAAAGTTTAGAATACATTTTTCAAATTCTGGTAAAAACTGACCAAATACAGTATATTGATGAATCATCTTGCATCCAAATTTTTGTCCAATCATACACTCTTTAGAATAAGAACGTCCCTCCCCTAATGCAATGTCCTTTCTCACTAGCATTAGCAAGTAGCGAAACTAAAGTCTATTGATTATGTAAAAATGATGTCATGTCACAATTGTGAAAATGCTTGTAAACAAGAATTTAAATCATAAGTACAATATTAAAAATAAAGGTTCCAAAAGAAGGGGTTTGCATTGATGCCATAGAGGAGCAATTTGTGACCCTGGACCACAAAACCAGTCTTAAGTCGCTGGGGTATATTTGTAGCAATAACCAAAAATACATTGTATGGGTCAAAATTATTGATTTTTCTTTTATGCCAAAAATCATTAGGATATTAAGTAAAGATCATGTTCCATGAAGATATTTTGTAAATTTCCTACTGTAAATATATTAAAACTGAATTTTTGTTTGGTAATATGCATTGCTAAGAACTTCATTTGGACAATTTTAAAGGCGATTTTCTCAATATTTTGATTTTTTTGCACCCTCAGATTCCAGATTTTCAAATAGTTGTATCTCGACCAAATATTGTCCTATTCTAACAAACCATACATCAATGGAAAGCTTATTTATTCAGCTTTCAGATGAAGTATAAATCTCATTTTTGAAAAATTGACCCTTATGACTGGTCCAGGGTCACATTTTGGGTTCCACCAAAAAACTTTGAGTGAGCAGTTCTTAAATTAAAAGGACCAATTTTTAATGTAAATAACATTTTAAGAACATAAAGAACCTTTTGTGAAGTTGAAAGTTTCCTTGGATGTTAAATGGAACCATCAATGTTGACCTTAATTTTAAAGAGTGCCGTTTCTAAATAGATTAGTTGTTTATTAGGCATTTAAGTATTTCTGAGAAAAGTCACAGGAATGAGAAATAAAGACAAAATGAATCAAGAATTTAACACCAAGTAGCTCGTAGCTTTTGTTTTTGAGTGTTGGGCCTTCTTGGGCTTGGGCTTGAGCTTGGGCGCCCTTTGGCCTGGTCCATAGTCCATCGTGGATTGGTGATCATCTCCTAGAAACTTTCTACACCACAAAAGCTTTCTGATTTTATATGCTGGAGAACAGAAGAGGAAAAACCAGTGCACAGTGCCCCTCTGATATGATACTCCGTCCTGAAGGTCCAATCCAACACGCGATCATTCCTGGCCCTCCTTTAACCGTTTAGCCCATTAGCTAGCGGCCAGTAATCACTTGTAAGCGGCTCATTATGACAAGTTTTAAATGAATCCATCTGGGATCAGGGGATTTCAGACGCTCAATAGCAGGACATCTAAAGATATCCTTGACAAGGCCACCCGACAAGAGGTAAAACTCTCGGCTGCTTCTGAAGACTTAATGAGCTCTTGAATTATGAAGAGCGTATTTTATCTAACTTATGTTGAATTGTGATGTGGTGATCTGCTTTTGATCACAGTCTCATTGTATTAACATACAAAGCAGTGACCGTGTTACTAAGGAAAGAAGGCAAAATGGTGCACAGTAGCATTTACTAACCTTTTCGTGCTTGGTTTTTAGCATGCTATCTACTCTGTATTCCATGGTTGTAAGTGCATGATGCAACTGCTAATATATTTTATGAAATGAGGAGATTATTATATAATCTGTAATCTGACGTGTTTTGCATCTGCCGATAATTAGTGTTTTGTTGTTCTCATGAGATGTACAATTCCTATACAGTACATTAAAGAAATTCTGTCATCATTTATTTACTCTCTTGTTGCTCCAAACCCGTTTCTTTCACAGAAGATGTTAGACTGTCTGAATGTCTGAGCTTTTTTTTTTTTTATACAATAAAAGCATACAGTGACCAGGTGCCATCAAGCTAAAAAAAAATTACATTAAATTACAATAAAAGCACTGTAAAAATAGTCCATATTATTCACGTTATTTTCTACTGAAGCCTAACTGAAGTCTGAAGCCATCCAGTAGTTTTGTTTGAAGAAACTCTAAAACTCTCAAAATAAATAAATAATTTTGACTTTTTAATCATTTATTTATTTAAATGTGATCAGGTTGATTTGAGAACTACATTGGAGAAGACTTTCTGTTTAAATTATTACTTAAATAATTACTGATTACTAATTATTATTACTTAAATGATTACTTAACATTCACCTCAGGAAACGTGAAATATATCACTTAAGTCGTATGTACTAAATGCACTATATTCTTTCATTATATGGAAAAAAGCAGCATGGATATTCTGCAGATGTTCTCCTTTTATGTTCTACAGAAGAAAGGAAGTCATACAGATTTGGAATGATATGAGGGTGAGAAAATAATGACAGAATTTTCATTTTTTGGATAAACCATCCCTTTAAGCTTCAGTAGAAAGCACACAACAGACGTAAAAACAGATATCTTTTCTTTTTCCAAGAATCTCGCCTTACCATGCAGATTTTCCCTCGCCGTCTCTCAGAAAAAAAAAACTGTTTTATCTGTCTTTTTGCACTTCTTAAAAGTCACTTCATCAAAGTGATGGATAATACATCCAACAAGATAGCAACGGCAGCAATTACTGTTCAGCCTTGGCATCACATCGCAGAATACACAAATTATGATTCCCCTTTTAATGCATATGAGAATTTATTGCAGGTACGTACATTTATAAGAAAGTGGATTTTGGCAAGTTGGCACCGGTGAGCCCCCTGGGGTGTGTATTTTATACTGACAGCAAATCAGAGTTATCAGCACCTATCAGATAATGCATTTATCATTAAATTTCACATTTGCATTTCAATCTGGAAAGGAAATGAGCATTGGCGGTGTAAGATAAGAGCAGTAGGGACGACGGTAATAAACGGTCCCTGTGATCAGGCAGCCAGCAGGGGGTCAGTCACACAACGATGGGGCAAGCGCATACAAAAAGAGGCATCATAGACCAGTTAAGGCTTTCCAGAAAAAAATGCTGAGCTTTAAACTCCTGCTTAAAAAAAAAGAGGAGGCGGTTTGGAGGGGGGCTAATCAGCCCAGTGTCTCTCTGATCATCCATCCTGTAATGCTGAGAGAGAGACAATTCCCTCCCTGTTTGTTTTGAATGAATGATTTTTGCTGGTTGTGTCGCTCATCTGTGAAAGTATCACACAAAGAAACATGTTGCATTACAACACTAGAATTTTACATTTTCTAATGGAAATGTGAGTAGTGCTTGAGGTCTCCAGATATGGCTCGAGTGCAAGTCTGTGGGATTCTTTTCACCTGTTTTATCGCCTGCTAGGTGAAAATTGTAAATCTGATCTCTTAGAAAAAGAAACATACAAAAAGCTGCATGATTTCTGGTGTCATTCAGGTTTGGACATAAATGGAGCCGGGCGTGTTACATGCTGAAGTTCAATATTTCATATTAGAGATTTGTTGCTAAGTATCAAAATGCTAAGTATAAGCACGGTTGCCTTAGCAAACGCTGCTAACTAGTCTGAAATCAGTCGAGAAGTTGGTGTTATAGTTTCAATTTGTTTAGTGATGCATGATACTGTGCATTTACAGTTATGATCCAATTACGATCAGACATTTTTTTTATTATTACTTATCACCATGCATAGCATATTTCAGTGTGCAAGCTAATTTTTTCTCTATTTCTACATTTATTTATTTTTACTTTTGTCATCACCTTTACTCTTACTTAAAGTTTATCTTTAAAAACACAGATTATTTAATAACAATGTTAAATACAATAAAATGTAATACATTAATTTGCATAAATAAATTAAAATAACAACTTATCCTCTGCAGAGTCACGGGTAAAATAAATTAATAAATCCATTATTCACAGTGTGAACTATATGCCTAAATTCATTTGTATAATTTACAATAATTGATTTTAGTATATATATATATATATATATATATATATATATACGGCGGCCAGCGAGGGTTTGCTCATTTGTTTGTTCCCATGGGAACCTTCCAGTCAACAGCAGGCATGTTCAAATAGGGAAGGATGGCCTTTCCAAAGCTCAACTACAACCTTTATATGAGAGAAATCAGCAGAGAAATGCAACCCACATTTTAAATAAATAAACAGTGTAGTGATTTAAATATGTACTATCTTCAGGTTCAAATCAAACAAATCAAAGACACTTAAAGCTACAAGAGACAACATCATTTTAATCAAAAGATCAAAACTACTATACATGTAAATCTCATGAAAAAAGTGAATTTTTTATTTAATATTAGGGCTGTCATCATTAACGCGTTAACGCATGTGATTAATTTTACAATCCTTAACTCGTTAAAATAATTTAACGCAATTAACGCATAATTACTGAAGCACAATTTCTATTCTAACCCTTTAACCCAATTTTGCTACTCTGCTTGCGATTAGATAATTTTAAGCTGCTAAACTCCGGGAAAGTTTTCAGTCCAATGATCCAGTAAGCGAATGCATTCAAACAATCCGTCCAAAACAGCGCTAATATAAAGGAAACCAGGCTGATTACATCAGAGATTGCAGAGAGAACAGAGAATCGCTTTGCGTTTTCAGTGAATTATTAATTCCAGTGTGTTTCGCTTTTAAACACGAGCTCTGTCATATTCTGTGATTGTCTCTGAAGAGCGCGAGCCCTCACA